AGGATAGAATATCATCAGTAATCATCTGCTATTTTGGCATTTTTGTTTCCCCAAAGATATTATGTAACCATTTTTTTTTTCTGATTCTTTCATTTTTGTATCTAACAGATAAATTTGAAAGACAAATTCCATATATTTCCTTAGTGACATAAAACATACACACACACAAAGATTCCATTTTAATGATGTGCTATTTTATAAAGCATAAAAGGTTTCCCCCCCCCATTTCGAATTTCAGCCTATTTTTGTGGTGGCTAGGTTTGTAATTTCTGATTCTTTTTTTTTTTATTTATTTTTTATGAGACAGAGTATCGCTTTGTTGCCCAGGCTAGAGTGAGTGCTATGGCGTCAGCCTAGCTCACAGTAACCTCAAACTCCTGGGCTCAAGCAATCCTTCTGCCTCAGCCTCCCGAGTAGCTGGGACTACAGGCATGCGCCACCATGCCCGGCTAATTTTTTCTATAATATATGTATTTTTAGTTGTCCAGATCATTTCTTTTTATTGTTTAGTAGAGACGGGGTCTCGCTCTTGCTCAGGCTGGTCTCAAACTCCTGACCTTGAGCGATCCACCTGCTTCGGCCTCCCAGAGTGCTAGGATTACAGGCCTGAGCCAATTTTCTGATTTTTTTAAATGAAAACAGAGCAATAAGCATAGCCATAACTTTTGTAATTAAGTCCCAATATTTAAAGAAGATCTTGGCTTTTAGTAGATGGACTCCATATGTAAGGTAGTTGCGTGATTCCAATGGTGCAGACAGCATTGTTTTCTTTTGTTTTTTTAATATATTTTATGCATTGCTTTAAGTGTTGTGATTCAACATTCATAAACTCCTTTGTATTCTTTGGGGACCAAAACTCTACACAGTAAGAGAGCTTGTTAAGGGTAGAATGTATTGCTTGAACTTTAAGAAAAGTTGTTTCCAAAACTTATTTGGCACAAGAAATCCTCAAATGCTCTTCGAATATTTTTATTTCTTCTTAACATGTAGCAATTTTGTTGTTGTTGTTTAGTTGCAAGTAGCACTCCAGAAGTAATATACTTGTGAACTTTCCATGATTTGGAGTAAGATTCCTTCTTCCAAAAGATCTCCCTTTCTCCAGAAAAATGATGAGATACAAATAAGACTAAAGTACAAAATCAACCCTTTATGGATGTGGAATAACTGAACTAAGAAAAATTTTAGCTGCTATTCAGTTCAATACCTTAATTGAACATATGCTAAACTAAAATCTAAAGAAGTCTTCAGCATAGCCACAATTACGTTAGTTGCTGGTGATAATTAAAATTTTCTTTGTATTCCATTTACACAGTATTACCACTGCTCATTCCGGATGACAGGAGAAGGTTGGCTTCTTTGCTGTGGAGAATATCAAGATGTCCTTATAATTGATGCCAAAACTTTGGCTGTTGTTCACACTTTTACATCATCTCAGTCTCCCGATTGGGTCACCTGCATGTGTATTGTTCACTCCATGAGGATTCAAGGTAATAATTGGGTATTGTATAACACCAAGAGATTGCACACAAAAATACCCTCCTTTGAATTATTTGTGAAGTTACTGAGCAAGAGTTTATAAAGAATGCTTCCTTATGCTTACCTGTTAGTGGGGATAGCTTTGTAAGCCAGATCAAGAAAAACTGAGAACACCCACGCTGGTGGTTCAAGTCATTAGAAAGTCAGCAAGAGGTTGTGATGAAGTGGAAAGAAGTGAATCTGTGTTTCTATGACCCAGTTCTTCTTGGTACATTTTAAGAATTACAAGCTGATTTTTTTTGTGGATTAGCAGGACTTTTGCCCTGAAATTTTGCCCTGCTATATCTTCTGGCTGTAGTATTGAGAAGAATTTAGTTTCTCTAATGAGTAAATACACAGGAAAGTGGAAGCTGGCTCCTTACTTATTTCTGAAATAGGAAGATGTAATGTTACCAACATGATGATTTACAATGTGTTTCTGCTTGTTGTGGTGGTCTTCTTATATAGAGGAATCACTTTGAAATTTTTAAACAAATTTGGAACATGATGTAAAACATTTATTAAAAAAATCCAAAGCTGAATACTTTCCAGCCATAAAGCCCTGACGACGAATGATTTTTACAACAACCAGTTATCGCAATGGTGAGCTTATGTGACCTTTGTTGTTTTTTTTGCAGAAGATTCTCTCTTGGTGGTATCAGTAGCTGGTGAGCTCAAAGTATGGGATCTCTCCTCGTCTATCAACAGCATCCAGGTTTGCTTGGAGACTCTACTGTTTTTTCTCTATTTTCAAGCATATTTATTGAAATTTTAAAATGATAAGGATATTACACACTCATTGTTAACAGTTCGAATAGTATAAAAGTGTATAAATTTTACCTCCATATACTTTCCCCATCCATCTTTCCAGGAGTGAGCATTGGTATAGTTGGATTGTAGCCTTCAATCATTCCTTTATGCATATACAAATGTTTTTGTCTATAGACATACACATACACTTTGATTACATTTTAATTTTAAAAAATCATAGCAGAATATCTCTCTGTCCCTTACAGCAGAAGATCCTCTTTCTTCTGGGTATGTGTGAGGGGTGGTAGGGAGATGACTATGAACAACTCGGGGTCACATCCCCTGGGAATCCGGTATATTCACCTGCTCACTGGCATCAGGCTGCAAGTTGTGGTGATAGAAAAAAGAACAGCCACAATATTTGTGTTGATGACAAAGTTATTAGGTTCCCCAGGGAGCTCTGGGGTCTCTTTAGGAATTTCTTGGTTGAGGAAGCCTAGGAATTGGGTTGTCATGCTGAGCTCAAGAAATACACACCAGCATGATCAGAAACTTATTGAGAACGTAGTATTCTATGTGTTCTGTGTTGGCTACTATTCTATCTTTTCAAAACACTTTGTTCATTTTTTTAGCAATTAAGATATGCAGGGGTTTTTTTAGTCATCATTTTACATTTTTTGTTTAATCTTTCTGCCATGTCTGAAACTGACTTATTCTTATTTTTATATTCTCAACATATAGCATAGCTCCCCACAGAATGTTTGTTGAATGATTATATGTAATGAGTTCTTGAATCCAAGTGGAGTTTCTGCTCACAGATTCCATTGCAGAGTAACTTCTTAGTTCAAAACACTCAACAGGAAACTTGGGTACTTTGCATTTTTGAATCATGTGCTCTACTTTAGGTGTATGGGGAGCGGGTCTTCTTGTGGTTGTATATAAATTACCTAGAACTGGCACTAAAATATTTTCTTTCCTTTTGAAGGAAAAGCAAGATGTCTATGAAAAAGAATCCAAGTTTCTCGAGTCCTTGAACTGCCAGACAATACGATTTTGCACATATACTGAGAGACTTCTATTGGTGGTATTTTCTAAATGTTGGAAGGTATTATAAAATAACATTATAAACACCAGTGATGTAAAAATGTAATTTGCTTTTCTCTTGCTCAGGGAAACAATGATAAGAATATGATTTTAATATGATACGAACTCTCTGTAATCATATTACCAGAGCATGCAAGGAGGTGTCTTTTATGACTGACCTGTCAGTTTTTAACTCCTTACATTCAGCAGTTTTGCATCCCAAGATACCATATGTGTAGTAGTATATTCTAATTTTATTAATAAAAAACCATAATAA